CAATTAATTACAAGTTAAGAAGGGCATGGACATTTTTTTTGTATCGAAAAAATATCAAATGATGACACTAAAGTATCGAACCGAATCGTAAATTGTTTATCATTGCACCCGTAGTTTTCAACTACTGGCTTGGAGCAAATCAACCAGGCTATGCAGTGTAAATATGTCAGCTGTTCAAGTTACGCATGGCTGTAGTAAACAGGAAGTAGAGGTCRCAAACTAGCATCTCAGGACAACGGAGATAAATTTTTAAGGAATGTGTTGCTATTGGGCAAGTTGTAATTATTCTTTTATATCCACTAACGTTGGCCATGTTACAAGCTGTCATAGAGAAAGAAATGTAATTCTGACAAGAACAGCTGATCAACCATGTGAGGTAAATCTTCAATACGTCAGAACTTATTCGGCATCTCCCCTTTTGCGCATTAACTCTKTTTTGGAAAATCGAAAAACCACCTCAAGTGAGCGCAAAAGCCTTTTTGCGSAATTGAAGTTTTTTTCAAATTTTCCATCCATCTTTTTCTAAAGAGATACTTCAAAACATTCAGAAAAAACGTTGATGGAAACATGGCTACAGATTATGAACAGACTGAGATCTTTAAATTTTTAGTTTTAAAACACAGACAACATGAATTCCTTCCAGAAAGACTACTTACTTTAAAATACTTATATAAAATAATTTCAAAGGTTACAACATGTCACCAAATGGTTCTGCTGTTAAGCATACTGACCTTATCAGCTCTATGTTCTCATGGGTGCAAAAGTTTGGGTCAGATCTGTTTTTATTCCTGAAATAACGTCAGATTCTTCTGACTTCTTCACTAAAGCAACACAGCTTACACCGAAAGATTCTCCGGCTGCTCATCTAAAGGATTTCTGACAAAGTCGCTGCACATTTATTATAAAACCTTGTGAGCCAAACATGTGASGTGTGTGTGTTTGTGTGTGAGCGCACCTGTTAGCAGTCAGTGCGGAGCTGAACAACTCCGGGGTTTGTGTGATGTGGTTGTTGTTGTTGGCGCTGCCTATCGACAGGCTGCTGGGGGAGGCAGAGGGGGGAGTCTGCATGCCGATCTCCTTCAAGCGCTGATCCTGGAAAAAGATGCACAGACATGTGAGGGGAGAGAGAGAGAGAGAGAGAAGAGCAGCACCAGGTGCTCCGGGGAGACACAACGAGTCTGGATTTGGGCACCTGAGGAAGAGCGTGGAGACAAATACATGTTCTGCAAATTCACAAGAGCTCAGCTGAGTCATGGTGTGTCAAGATGTTTGCCGGGTGTTTTTATTAGAGCGTGCTGAGGAAAAACTAAAGGAGGAAGTAAAACACGCTTCTTTGGAACTTCGAGTGCAACCCGCTGAGCCAGAACTTACCTCACCTGCTAATGCCGAGAGGTGGGATTCAGCACACACAACCATAAAAACAATAGACTGAGTACTTTCAAATTAATTAGTACAGCGGTTAATTATTAAATGTCCAGGTTAAGAAAACTCCTCATTCCTCTCAACAGTATTTGACCCTGATCCGTTGAGACTCAAGTGCTGCTGAGACAGAAAGTTCTGTTCTGTTTCATCTTGTGACAGGAACATCAGCAACGTCTTGTTGCTGCTTCAACAAAAACATCCTGACAAAGACAAAACAGTCATGGCTTTTCGTCCAGTTACTTTCTCTCCATTGTTTTTTTTTTTGCAAAGTCAAGGTGAGGAAGACAATAGATGTAAAGGATGAGACTGAAACAGCAGACCTYCTTTCTTTGAGTTTAGAAAAACAGCACAAGACCAAACACTTTGCAGATTTAGACGGTGCTCTGGTGTGATTTTGGTGTGGTTTTTGTTTTATTTTTTTAACCAGTGGTCAAATTCCTGGATGTACAAAGATCATCACATTGAGAAAAGCCTACAGTAGAACAAAACCAAACTCAGCGAAATTACAGCAGAAAACCTGAACCAACTCAATGGGCCTCATGCAAGAACATGTTCGTATTCTTATCCTAAATTTCTCTTACTTTTGTTCGTACGAAAAGTTCGTATGAACGTCAGATCAGATTCAACAAACTCTTCTATCTTCAGGAAAAGTGTGTAAATGAGCTGCGTAAATTCCACCTGTTCTATCCAGC